ATTCACCCCAGAGCGCCAACTGAGACAAATAAAATATTTTCTTTCTCAGTCCTCACTTTAAAAGCATAGTATAATCAGTTAGTTACAGTGCAGCCTTCAGGCTATAGGAAAGTTAGGGTTCCAACAGGAATATTAACTTTGCCACGCTGCACATGCCATGGCTTCTACCCAAAAACCGTTCTGGAGGAAAGGAGGGAGTTCCAGGCACTTGCAGTTCTGTCCTGGAGTCAACATTTGCAAAAGGATGTTGAGAGCAGGCAGAATAAGCAGAAAAAAATAATTTTGACAGCTGGAAAAATACTTTAGTCTCACCGAAAAGGGGGGTTTAATCTCCAGCTGGAAAGCGGAAAGGTTATTTGAACATTTTAAAAGTACTTACGGGTAGATTGGACTTTTTTGATTTAAGTTAGAAAGGTGGAACGAAACGGTGCTGGAATTTATAGCCAGACAGAAGCAAATTGGCCGCTGGAGTCTGTGCTGGGGCAGAGCAGCTCTTGATTTCTTTTTCTTGAGGATTCTGCAGCCTAAAAGGCTAAGAGCCTGTGCCCTTATATAAATGATTGGAGGTCCCTTTTTGCCTTAATTTACCCTGGGGACATGCTCTTTCTCTTGATCAAAGTTCATAAATCAGTCATCCACATGAATTATGAAGTAGAGAAGATCCAAGCCTTGCATGTAGGGAAGCAACAGCAAATTTCAGGTTGTGTTGCTAGGTTCAAAACCCTGCCAGCTTCCCCGCTGCTTCAGGAAGGGCAGGGGGGACCCTTTTTATAGGCTGCAGGGGAAAGTGCCAGTGTGGTTGGTGATTCCTAGTCCCCGCCTAACAGTTTGTAACATTCTTCACTTCTGATTACAGGCCTCCTTCCACCGCTAAATCCATCACCATCCCGGGCCAGGACTCCTCCCTGCAGCTGACCTGTAAGGGTGAGGGCACCACGAGCAGCAACAGCAGCTCGGCCACCATCGGTTCTCTCCGCCAGAGCAAGCCAAGACCCACCATTCTCAGCTCGGGTATGTCCTGGAGGCTCACGCAGGGTTTGCCTGTGCCTGGGCTCCGTTTGATTTTTCTGCGACAACTGCAAGCACAAATTAATTTTCCATGTTTTCTCCACTCCTGTACTCACCCCTTTACTCATTAATAAAAGTTAAAGAACCCAAAAGCACGTAATAAATGTAATTGTGGAGAGGAAGCATGAATTTTGCAGCACACATACTTCTGTTACTGGAGATAAAGCAGTTTGTTCTTATTGCTGAAGATTTAATAATTCATGTTTTGCACTCATCCCTGCTTTCCCTTGTGTTTAGTGACACTTAACATTGTTCTCCACTCAGCTATTCTGTTGCTCAGGCTTATCTTCTAGAAAAGTTCCTCTGCAGATTTTAGTGGTTGGTTTGAGAGCTAATGGCCTTGTTCCAGCTGCTGATGCAGAGTCCTTTGGCTTCTGCATGAGCCCATTTTCAAGGGCACTGAATCTTCCCATAGCTGTTTTTTTTTTTCCTCAGCACAGTCCAAATGTGCAAGCAGATAGACACACACTACACCAAAATAACTGTAATCATGTCACCTCTGTGGCCTAGCACAGCGTGCAAGTGTCCCTAGCAAACCTGGCTGATGTGTTACGCTCGTGTAGTTGCAGATGACCCTTCTGAAAGGGAGCAGGGGCAGGGGCAACGCTCAAGTCTGGGCACCAAATTCAAGTGCGACTTAAATGGCTTGGAGTCTCTCTCAAGTCATAGAAGGGGAAATGTTATAGCAGGAGAAGCACCAAAATGGCAAGGGTAATAACTTATTGCCAGTGGCCTTTCTGTTTCTTTTTTTATTTTTTATTTATTTATTTATTTATTCCTAGCTTAAGGTTTTTAACTATAGCTTCAACCATTACCTATCTTTCTGGATTCTAGACCTTGTAAATTCAGGCACTGCATACTAAAGCTAGTGCTAAGCTTGACAGAGAAGCTTGTTGCTGTCCTTCATACTCCACCACAGCCACCTCTAAGCTCTATGCTAGCCTGTACAGCAAGGCTTGCCCTTTCCTCAACCTAGTGTCCTAAGATAAGCCTTTAACCTGGGGCAGGGAACAATGTGCTGACTTGGTTGTGGTGTAACTGAAATGTCCTGTTGTTTCTTGGCAGGTGTCCCAGAAGAACCAGACCAGAATCTGTCCAGTCCAGAGGAAGTCTTCCACTCAGGGCACTCGCGAAACTCTAGCTACGCCAGCCAGCAGTCCAAAATCTCTGGTAATGATTGATCAAGAGGCTCTACCAGCATCAGCCTCGTTCTTTTTACTATCCTGCAACAAGCTGTTTCGAGTGATTCGCAGGCGCGTCTCGCTCAGCTCTGCAGTCTGACTTTGCAGTTTCTGCTTACGTAGCTATATGGGAGTTCCTAGATCTATGCACAAACCTCAGTCTATGGGAGCAGAAATGCTGGCCTGAAGCTGACCGGTGCAGATGTGTTTTGTAATCGCTCTGTATCCGCAGGTTACAGCACGGAGCACTCCCGTTCTTCCAGTATGTCCGACCTGACCCATCGCCGGAACACGTCCACCAGCAGCAGCGCATCCGGGGGGCTCAGTATGACAGTGGAGTGTCCGGAGGGAGAGCGGGATCACAAACTAGAGAAGCCCCCTCGGCCCCCGAGGCCGGCCCTGCTCATGGATAGACCTTCCCGGTACGTACCTGGAGCAAAGCCTCTGGGAAGCAACACTGAAAGTCCAAAAGCTTCTTTGTCCTCAAGCAGCAGTAAATTTGAGGAAGTCAATGGAAAGAATGCTTTTGCAAAGGGAAGCAGGAGAGCATCTTAAAGTCTGCTCTGAAAATTTGCTCAGCTTTTCCCTTTATTTTTTTCTCCCAGAAGGAAAAAGGATTCAGTGGAGAGTCACCCAACCAGAGTGGATGACACCAGGATCGATGCTGATGATATAGTGGAGAAAATAATGCAGAGTCAGGACTTCACAGATGTCAGCAATACTGAAGGTGAGGAGATGAGTTCCAAAGGGAAGTTCTGGCTGTTCCTGTAGTAAAACTGCAAAGCTTTTACATCTGTGATTTGCCAGATGCTCCCTCCCCTTTTGACAATAACTTGCTTTCAGCGCTTGCTAGATGTTTCCACATTTGGTAAACTGTGGATCTGAGAGCTGCACATCCATTTGTAAACAGCATTTGCTGAGGTGGAATGCTGACTTAAATATACAGGGTGGTGGGAAAGGGGATCCTGGTTCTTCAGGGCAGTAGAAATGAGTTGCATCAGTTCTCTGCACTGCTGTTATAGCCTTTGTCCAGGGTCAGTCCAAAAGTATTTTAAAGGAGGGGAGCTACAACCAAAGGGGAAGCAGCACATGTCTTAGCAAAAAAGAAGGGAAGAAAGATGGATTGCAACACGGCTTGTGATCAGGATTCTCCGAAAGAGCATGAGACAGAGGGGTTCTCCCTTGCAGTCACAGCATCTATTAAGAGAATTAAAAGTAATAATGACTGACGGGTTTAGGCTAGAAATCAATCTAATCATTGTTTTTATCTAGCTGTGGTTTTAGATAGGCTTTAAACCTTTGCTATTGGTACTTTTGTAGTTTCCCGTTAGTCACCTTAAGTCATTGACATGAGAAACCTCTTTTTAATGCAGGGACTTACACCCCACTTAGTGTGGGTGAAAACTACACTGAATATAGCCACTTTTTTAATTATCAGCAGAAAAGGCTGGATTTCTTCTCCAATTATGACTATAACTAGAGATGGGGCCCCACGTCATATGTCTAGAAGTGTTTAAACTGGCCAAGAGCTTAAATCAATGTAATGTCTTAAAGGAAGCAGCTGTAGAATATGAGTGAATTCATTTCTGTGAGTTTACTCTTCCAAAGCTTAATGTTGTGGTTGATTTATACATGAGGATCCTTTTTACAGCAAGAAGAGGAGTTCCCAGGGGCACTGTTACTGTGGGAACACCACTAAGTGTGCCCATACATTTGCAGAAATGGACTTATTCCCTTGCTGAACGTTGTGTAATGCATGGGGGGGCATGCCAGGTTTGTCAGCAGTTCTGGATTTTGATATTTCTTGCTTTTTTTTTTTTTTTTTTTTTTTTTCGTAGGCAACGACAGTAACCTGAGGCTGTTTGTGAGCAGAGATGGCACAACTACACTGAGTGGTATTCAGTTGGGAAACAGGTAGGTTTCCTGAAAAGCTGGCAGGCAGAGGGACTGCAGAGGTTATTAGTGAGCTCTTTGTATCCAGGAAACTTGCACGTTTGCTACAGGAGAGATTTCTAAATGTCCTGTGGTTTTATTCCCACATTAATATCCCAGGATCCCTCTGGTGACAGGCTACAGCTGCCCAGGGGTTTGTGTGCAGTTCCCAGTGGAAGCTCAGAAGGATAATTCAATCTTAACTGTTAGATCCAAGCTGTTAGATCCAAGAAATGAGAATAAGGGGTAAAAGGACAAAATGGTAGCGGTTTGTCCCTGTTTGTGTCTGTACCCAGTTGAAGGCAGGAATTGAAGGCTCTGCCTCCTGCTGGACTGCAGCAAAAATGCACGTCTGGTTTATGGGTCCTTCTTGTTTCCTCCTCACGTCTGTCGAGGGCTGGTTCTCTCACGAAAGACTTCCAAGAGAACTTGATCAGACAAATAAAACTGTGTCTTGCCACAATAACTTTTAGTGCAGTGTCTTGGCTAGTTGCTAAGCTTTATAGCACCTTTTGAGGTAAAAAGGCAACATGGTAAATGCAAAGATATGCCAACTGCAGTAGCAAAGCTGGGAACTGAGCCTTTTCTGGCTCTTTTCCCCTCAGCCCCTTTCCTCTCCCTTTTAGAAGGATTTGTGTTACGCCCAACTCTTTCAAATGCTCTAGTGTTAGCTTGCCACGTAGCTGTCTGTTTTGTGTTATGCAGGTTGACTTCTTGCCAGACTGACAAGTTATTTTCAGGATTTTCTGTGGGGTTAGAGGAGAGTGTTCCTAAGTGGAGAGCTCTGAAGCAGAACTTGTTTGCTGTAAGCAACTGAGGAAAACAACCTAGTTTTCTCATCATCTTCCCCTCTACCTCCTCAGGGTCTCATCTGGAGTTTATGAGCCAGTGGTGATTGAAACCCACTAAATGTGAAGAACAGGGTAGAGCTGCTGGAAACGGACCCCCTACCCAGTCCGCTGCCACATGGATGCCAATCTTTACCTCTCTTCATGCAGCATTCCAGAAGGGATTTCTCCACACCCCTCCCCGTACGTTTGCACTGCAGAACTGCTCCGAGACCACTCCAAACCATGCACTTTCCCTGTGTTGGCATTACCTTCCTCCACTTCCCAGTTCTTCCAGTGCCTGCCCTCCCCCTGTTCCCGATGAGATTCAAGGTGTCTGTTGGGGTTATCCTTACTCAGAGAGGGTTTTGCTCTTTTTGCAGTCCCTCACTCTGCACGTTTATTCACAACGGGGGTCTTCTCAGCTTCTGTGTCCCCCAACTGTTGGGTTAAACCACTGTGAACTCTTGAAACCACTGTGGGAGGAGGGAATCATTCTAACCAAACCGAGAGCTGCTGTTTGGTGACATGGCGAGATAGCTCCTTGCAGGGTGCTTTATTCCACTGACCCTGCAAGGGAACATCACCTTCCAAGGCAACGGTTTTACTGACAAAGTGTGCTGTGGCGTGCACTTCACCTACCCCTCAAATCCCAAACATCATCTTCTCATAGGAAATATCTCCCAAAAGTGCATTTCCGAAAACTGCCGCAATCCATATGGGAGTTGATGAATGGTTAAATGCTAGTGCTTGTTATACCACTAACTGTATTACCCCCTCCCACTGCTGGGCATGGGAGGGCAGGGTTCATCTGTTAGCATTAGCAGGAGCACTTTAGAGGTTCCAGACTTTACCTGGAGGAGGCCTGTGCTTGATCCAGGAGTATAATCCATATTCCCTGGACTGCCTCAGCGAATAGTCGCCATTGAGGCTTGGGATATGAAGCCTCCTTTTTGGCTCAGGAAGGGAGCTGCCTTTCTTGGACCGTGAAAAGAGTCTTGTTATCCGATAACCCTCTCCTGGGCCGGAGCAGGGTGCAGCTGACTGTAGTGGTGTCTCGTGGTGGTGATGAACGGGTGTCTCTCTTGGCCTGGCCAGAAAGGGAATTGCTGGTGATTGACCTTTCCTGCCCCGTCAGCAGGGACCTCTGCCTGAGCTGGGGCTTCCACCAGGGGGAAGCTCTGAGTGGGGCAAGATGAAGCCTCTGTCTTTGTCTCCAAAGGTAGGAGGGACATTTCCTGCCACGTTCACCACAGCAGCTGCTCTTACCCGCTCTGTGGCAAGTGAACTTTTCTGATAAGGCTTCATACTGTTTTTCTGGTTGGTCTTTCAATTGCTCTTCTTTCGTTTGATTTCTGCAGTTGTCTGACACTTCAGCTGCCTCTTTTCCTTGCAGCGGTGGCGGAGACGTCAGTCTTTCAGCTCCCACTGATAGATTCTCCTGGCAGCTGAACTGCAAGCGAGGATCTATGCAGACTCCAGCCGTGGGCTGGCAGCGGGCTGCGCTTGCAGCTCTTCCTGTACAGAGCCTTTCAGCCCGTAAGCTATTTCTGTGTAGTCCCCTTTCCTTTTTTGCCGTTGTAGCGTGGTAGCGCTCAGCAGCCGTGCGCGTTGAGCAGTGAGTGCCCTTCTCAACACACGCGCGCGTGCCCTTGTCCCGTTTGGTAAGCAAAGACTTAGATCACGATGTTGTTCACATTCTAGTTATTGTAAAGGCTTTTTTTTTTTAAGAAAAAAAACGATGAATCCTGATCTCTGACCAGGACGCATGTGGATGAGCTACGGGAAAAGGGCATTTGGCAGAAGATTATAAGAAATCCGAAATGAAAGCGCCTTGCTTTCGTGCCCTGCTAGCATGGAGATGGCTGCATGGAGAGGGTGCTCGGTCGTGCAGCAAAGCAGTACAGCTGCGTGCTCTGTTTTTGTGGTTTCTCTACAGCTGCTTATTCTGTTTCCGTGGTTTCTCTACTCAAGTCATTAGGTTTCTTTTGGTAGATGGACAGATCACACACAGGATGCAAAATTTTTCGCCCCTTCTCCTCTTCCTTCCAGAGGGAATTAAATCTGGATCAGGGCAAGAAGGGGTGTGACAACACCTTGATTTGGTTTAGCGTAGGGAAGCATTATTGGGTCTTTGGCGTCTGTTTGAAACAGAAGCTCTCTCCTTTGCTGCGCGTTTAACGGTGCTTTCCCCCGGCCGGGCAGCGTTGCCGCTCAGTCCCTGCAGGGGAGGCAGCGCCGGCCGCTCCCGCGGGGCGTCCCGGGAAGGCCTTGAAACGGGCAAAAATAACCCAGGAAGGAGGCCAAAGCCAGCTCTGTTCTGCTGCTTTGCTTCTCTTCCCATGAAAAGCAATGATAGTCACTGTCAGAGCAAGCGGGATCCAAGGGCTCTCTTTCTGGGCTCCAGCCGGCAAGAGGCTGCTGCTCCGAGCCCCTCGTTGCTGAGCACGTCACCAGATCCCCTGCGGGGCACAAGGAGGGATCTCTGCAGCGAGGCAAGAGGGGAAGCGGCGGCCGGTTCAGAACGGGGCTCCTCATCCCGCCCAGGCTGGCGGAGGCGTCGCGTGCGCTACCCCGGACACGTCTCTGGCTGCCCCTGCTTGGCGCTCCGTTGCTCGCGTTCCTGCTAACTGCGTCTCGTAGGGTGTCTCTTTCTTGTCTCCACGTCATTATTGGCTCCGCGGATCATGCTCTGCAAGTAGCTCTTAGCTCTCCTACCCCGCGTTTTGAAGCAGGCGGCTCTAGTCGTTCAGGCCGGCACAGCCCAGCCCGGGCTGGTGTCCCCTGGGCCGGCGTTGGGAAGCTGCGCTCACGAGCGCTTGTTCCTTGCGGCGTCGCTGCCATCTGTTCCCTGTTGGACTTTGAACATTTAAGAAGTGAATCAGTTTCCAGACCCAAACCGCTGGCTAGTTTCCTATGTTTAGGTTTTTTTTTTTTTTCCTTTGTCTTGGGGTTTTTTGGATTTTTTTTAATAAACCAGCAGGCTGGTTTTGTTTTTTTTTTTTTTTCTTTTCTTTGACTGCATCTTTTATTTTATTCCTGAGGGGCCGAGGGGGGGACTTGGCTCCCCACATTGTTTCCCTTCTTGGGGGATCCAGAGGTGAATCCGACAAGTCCAAGGGCCTCGTGGCGAGACCCGGCGCCGCGAGGGCAGAGCTGGCTCTGCTCCCCCTCGGGGCCAGGCGCAACGGGCGGCCTCTGCGCCCCCACCTTCGGGACCCCTAGTTGGTAGAAGCCCCCTGCAAAGAGTTTGGGAAAATCGGTATGATTTTTTTTTACTAACTTTTTTTTAAAAAAAAAGATATAAAATGAGCCAATGTCAAAAAACGATAGTTGATCAGTGAAGGAGATGGGCTTCTGTTGGAGAAAAGCGGAGAGGATGTTGCTCCTACGTTATTTTGCACGGCTGGCACTTTAGCAGGCGGCCGTCGCGCTGTCCTGGCCGTGGGCGTACGGAACGGCCGAGTCTGTCATCTCTTCCCCCTCGTTGCCGCATCGCCCTGACCCCGAGGGAAAGCTAAGTCCTTTTAAACGTTTCAGTTTTTAGAGGGTTCTGAACCGGGCTGAGACCCGCAGAAACACGTTTCATGCCAATCTTAATAGGAGGGGTTGACTTTTTATTTATTTTGTTGTCGCTGTTTCTTTTTAAACCGGTGGCTGTGCAGCTGGACTCTGCACGCGTTGCTGTGAAGCCTGGGGAGCCCCAGCGCGGGAACGCTGGAGCGCCCGGTCCCTCCCGGAGAGGGGCCCGGGCCAACCTCCCTCGTCCCCCTCCGCGCTGCTTTTCGCCTCGGGAGCCGTGAATCCCCCGCTCTGCCCCTCCGTCCCCCCTCGCCGAACGAGTGACCGCAGTAGGCAGGGCTGGTCCTTGGGGACGCGTCCCTGCAAACGCCGCCTGGTCGCGGGCGTTTGTGCCGAAAAGCCACTTCCTCGCTGGAGATTCCTCGTGGAAAATCCCCCCCTTTCCCTCCCGAGGGCTGCGCTGCCCATCAGCCCTCCTTCGCGATCCTCGCCCCGGCGCTTCCGTGTCGCCGTCGCCCCTACGCGTCGGGAGGGAGCCAACATGGAAAACTGGGAAGCTAAAGGAATTGGGGTGAAGCTTTGAGCTGGAGGTGCGGCTGAGCCTCTTAACCTGCCTCAAACATAAGAAATAATGGTAGAGCCCCTATTTTTGTGGGGGGAGGGAGGGGAAAAGGGGAGATGGTTTTATTTTCTTGAGAGTTATTGAGCTTGGTGATCTTCAGATGAGGCACGCACTTGATTTATATCAGATTCTATAGAGAGATCACTGATATTTTTGGAAAGGGAATGGGTCTATGCAAACTTCCAAAATTGCTTGAAAGATAGTTTAACATTTTTTTACTTTGAAATCTAAAGATAAATCTAACTTTTTTCTTAAAAGCAGAAGTGCGTTTAGAAAGAGAAGCTACTTCCACTGCTCTATTTTGATGATGATTCTTGGAAAGTTTGGGCTGGAGGGAATGACTATTTTTCACCATTTTTATCTTGCTCCTCTAGTTTTGTTTCTTTTTCTAATGGAATGCTGTGCCGTCTTTGATTCAACAGATTGTGTTTGTATTTTCTGTATCTGGTTCCTAACGTAGAGAAATAACATATATGAGGAAATCATTATAATGTCAAATGTTGTTATGGTTTGGGGGAAAATAAAGGTTTTTGGTACTTCACACTGATTCGTCTTGGCTTTTTTGTTAGTGGTGGTTTTGGTTGGGGCAGGGGAGTGTGTCCATCCATCCACCTGTCCTTGGGTTTCCAAAATATCTGTCAAGGAGGCAGGAGTCAGTGCTGGGATGCAGG